TATTTGAGTGGATCACTTAAAATGGCCCACCCTGTATGTCTTGTTGGTCAATCAAACGATTTTTCTCACATATGCATATATTGAGAAAATCAATCAAACCGTATATGAAAATAAAATTTGTTCATAGAGAGATTATATAGTTACATATTTACAGATATACAAATACATTTATAACATACATGTCAATGTGATAATTTGTCTAGGAATTAATTAATCAATTAATATATTTATATTTTCTAATTAAATTCATCCGTCATAATATGATTGAATTTTTCGAATAGTATCTTTTTATTAAAAATTTATTAAGTATTTTGCATAAAGTAATTTTAAGTAGTCGTTTATATTAATTATATTTATATATAAATATTCATTTCTGTTTAATAAATAATCAGTTTAATAAATATTCATTTAAATATTATAGAAGTGATTATAGATGCAAAAGAAAAGAAGCAGATAAATAGATTCTTTTCGTGCGGGATATTTATTCATTTACATTGTAACGGCAAAGCATTCCTCGAATGGAATGTCGCCGGTGTCTTTTATTATTCGATGTACGAGTTGCACGAGCTGGAGACACGCAACTTCGACTTTTCTCAATTTTGCATGAAAATTCGACGAAATTGCGTGACGCTCGCGCGTGCGGAGGAGATTTATTTTCGTTTACGTTTTATTAGAATAATCGCGACGGACACCGCGATTAACCTTGCGCTCTCTGCGTTTTCGAGCACATTCGAATAATTCGATTATCATCTCTCCCCCCCCTGCGATCTACCCTCGTCTTGCTTTTATTCGCCGTCACTGTCACTGTCACCCGTCAGCTGTCCCGTGCAGCGATCGTCTGACGCGCGCGCGGACTCGCATCTACCGTAGATCTACATGATGCCACTATACCCGTCACGCCGTCTACTTCCGAAAACTAATTATTATTAATCACGTCAACTTTACGATTACGGGACGTACCCTCCCCGCCGCGCCCTTTGCGTTTTACGCGGTTGAAAGTCGGCGAGAGAAAGTTTGACAGTCGAAAAACCTTTTACGTATTGATGTCTATGATTGGTATAATCCACTCAACTGATTCCACGTCAATTATTTGTTATGGACGTGAATCACAATTTGATGAATTCTCAAGTTTATATTTGATGAAAAAAACAAAAGCTAAATAATAGTAATATAATGAAAATATTTTCGAGGAGAAAGCGATATGCAATCGTCCCGGTCGCGATGATTTCATATTTAATAAAGTGTCAAACAGTTCGTCCAATTACTACGTCTTGGATTTAGATTACATTATCAGAAATTTTATCGCTAAAAGTTTACGGCAGAATTTCCTCAAGTCTCGCACATAATTTTTTTTTGTGGTATACACTGTAAAAGACATTTTGTATTTCTGTTAAAATTTTCTCGCGTAAAAATTTTGTGTTAAATTTTTAACATACTCTTATGTTAATGTTACATATTATCGTTGCGTTATTTTGACATTTCTGCGTTGAGTTAATTTCACCGTTTCTAAGAGTTAAAACAACACAATTAATATGTAAATGCACGAATTTTTGATGAAATATATTATATGTTAAAATGAACAGATAAATTGTGTTATTTTTCTCTCTATAACAGTTTCCACATGTTAAGTCAACATATCTCTTCTGTTATTTATCATAAAAATGTAAGAATAACATTTTCTTTTAATTAAATTTAACATTATAAATATGTTAATTTAACATAAACTTTATTTACAGATAAAGATTAAGTGTTACACGTTTGTGTTAATTTTTAAGCATATTATTTGTGTTATTTATTTACATACTTGTATTCTGTTAAATTAACATTAAAATTAGAGTGAATAAATTGGGACACGTGAAATATGTTAAATTTAACACAAAATTTTTTACTGTGTAGTATAAGTCGAACACAAATTCGCAGAAATTCCTAGAGCGAAAATTAAATTCATGGAGTTTTTCGAAAAGTCATTTTACATAATCGTTTTCAATACCCTTTCGTACGTGTTTATTATCTATTTTCGAAAAGTATTATAATGCAATGTTCGAAATAAAAAGCGTGATGAAATGAAATGAGGAAGGCGACAAATAATGAGGTTGTTTTAATCGAAAACGTCCGATCATCCAAAGTCTACGAGAACACGCGTGACAATTTGTCGCGTGATATTTTTAAACGTTGTCGCCGCCCTTACATTAGCGATGTAGCCGGGGAACAAAAGAAGAAGCTGCCGATAGCGACGAAAAGTGCATCTCTCGGGGATGCACCGAGCAGACGAGGAGGGAGACCATGCGTCGTAAATGGTAGAAGGTCGTTCCATATCAATTATTTCTTCGCTTTATTTATAGGCAGGGCCACGACACCGCGGTATCATCGTTGTTTTCCATGATTTCCACCCATCGTTTCAACGGGTTCTCCTGTCTTGCTTTCCCGCTTTCTACGCGATTCTACGAAGACGCGACGCGTGTCGGCAAAAGTGCGATTGCGCATTCATTTCCGCAAGACTCAGCGACTATTATGCGAATAGGCTGATATAGTCGTTAAATAATGAGCGATAAATTGTAATTGGCAGAGATTAGGCATCATTTGTCTTCACAAACTATTCGAGCTTCCAAGTAGAGATATCGATTAAATCGGAAACGCATAAAATATTGTATAAAAAACGAAGTATCAATAATATGTAAAGAATGTATAGATGTTTGACAATCAAAATCACACAGTAAAAAATTTTGTGTTAAATTTAACATATTTTACATGTCCCATTTTATTTTAACATATAACATATTTTATCAAAAATTCGTGCATTTACATGTTAATTATGTTGTTTTAACTCTTAGAAACGATGAATATTAATTCAACGTAGAAATGTCAAAATAACGCAATATGTAATATGTACATTAAGATAATATGTTACATTAACATAGGAGTATGTTAAAAATTTAACACAAAAATTTTTACACGAGAAAATTTTAACAGAAATACAAAATGTTTTTTACCGTGCGTTCTAAATTATTCTCTTCACAGTAAAAACTTTTGTGTTAAATTTAACATATTTTACATGTCCCAATTTATCCACTCTAATTTTAATGTTAACAGAAGGCAAATATGTAAATAAATAACACAAGTAATATGTTTAAAAATTAACACAAAATTGTAACACTTAAACTTTATCTTTATTTAAATTAACATATTTATAATATTAAATTTAATTAAAAGAAAATGTTATTCTTACATTTTTATGATAAATAACAGAAGAGATATGTCGGTCTAACATATGGAAACTGTTATAGAGAGAAAAATAACACAACTTATCTGTTCATTTTAACATATAACATATTTCATTTAACATATAACATATTTCATTTAACATATAACATATTTCATCAAAAATTCGTGATTTACATATTAATTGTGTTGTTTTAATTCTTAGAAACAGTGAATATTAATTCAACGCAGAAATGTCAAAATAATGCAACGATAATATGTTACATTAACTTAAGAGTATGTTAAAAATTTAACACAAAAATTTTTACACGAGAAAATTTTAACAGAAATACAAAATGTTTTTTACCGTGTTCACATGTTGTACGCTGTTTCGCCAATCGACTATAGACATACGAGAATCTACAGAGAACATGGTAGAAAAGCGAGAACATTTTGATTCTACTCGTCGTCGAAGTTTCAAGCTGCGTGTCGAGCGGCGGCGACAGAAAGTCTTCCTACGTTTGTTCTGCCATGTGCAATGCGAGTGACCTCCGCGTTCGCTAAAATCTATATTTATCCTAAGCGCTGAAGCACGATGTACTTAATGCTTTGGCTTTATTGTTTTCATCCCGCGCTCATCTTTCTTTTTGTCGTTTACCTTTCCCACCCTTGCCTGCAACTCCCGACAACTGTCACATTTACGATGTGCATTTATTTGTGTCTACGCGGCACACGCATCGGTTCGCGTCGCGTTTCTTCATATGCAATTCCAAATGTAAACGTGTTTTCGCGGAAAATTTACAATTAAAATTTACGATTTGCTAAGCGAAAAATTTTTCGACATTGATACGTGAAAAATCTTTAAACCGTGGAGGATGATGATGAGTGTAAAGACGATGAATGAGCTATACATGTGGTATAACTTTCAATTTGAAGATAAATAAATATAAGTAAAAATTATTTTTTAATTATTACACAATAACGTATATTATGTGAGTAGATATTATACGGGAGAATTAGAGGGGATCGTAAAAGAAATATAATTAGCGGGATAAAGAATGTGTGTATAATCAAATTAGATCGTTCAAACATTTTTGCACGGTAAAAAACATTTTGTATTTCTGTTAAAATTTTCTCGTGTAAAAATTTTTGTTTTAAATTTTTAACATACTCTTATGTTAATGTAATATTATCATTGCGTTATTTTGACATTTTTGCGTTTGAATTAATATTCACCATTTCTAAGAGTTAAAACAACAATTAATATGTAAATGCACGAATTTTTGATAAAATGTTATATGTTAAAATGAACAGATAAGTTGTGTTATTTTTCTCTCTATAACAGTTTCCATATGTTAAAGCAATATATTTCGTCTGTTATTGATCATAAAAATGTAAGAATAACATTGGAACACGTGACATATGTTAAATTTAACACAATTTTTTACTGTGTATTTTTAACTTGTTGCAATTATTTACAGATTTTTATTGAGATTTCGATAAATAATTAAATTTTATTGCAAATAATGATCTCGTTTTTATTTATTTTCAATATTTTTTCTGAAAAAATACACAACGAATTAAAAATCTCTCTATATCAAAATTGGAGCGGCATTATGGTAGAGATGCGCGTCATCCTCGCGCGACTCGCGACTTTTTAGACGTAGGGCGCTTTTTTTTCGCTCGCGATTTTAAATATAGCTCGAAATCTCTCGCGCCAGACGATCTGTAGCCTCGTCTGGACGAAAATAAGCCATCTTTATCGCGTCCTGACGGTCTTTCTTTCCGCTTTTTTTTTTCAGCCGATGCCGGCGTGATGTGCCTCCCTTTGTCCGACCTTCAAGCACGAAGACGAGCAACGGGAAGGAACGAAAAGGCATTGGCGGAAGGTAGTGTCGCACGAAGATGCAAAAGTGGCATAGCTTCGGCCTTGAGACAAGACGGGAAAAATATAGTCGCACATTAGCACGAACTTCTCTTTCTCTCTCTCTTACAAGGCTTTTAATAAGTAATCTTCTATTGTACAAGATCCTCGACTGAAGATAAATCTGTTCTTCGAAATAAGCAATAATATACGTAAATATACAAATTGTAAATATAAAAATGACATGATATTAAATATAATTTACATACCATGCGTACTCGACGCACGCATTCTTGCCCTTTAATTGATTTAATCTCGTGACGGGATTACTTATTTGCGTCAAAAGGAAGGGGTTTTCGCGAAGGAGAGATGTCGAGTTACACATCCAATTCGAGCTAAACAGCCGAGGGCAGTTGGCGAGAGGAGGGCTTTGCGTGTGTCTAGACGAAAACGTCTGTCTCTACGCACACCTAGCCGCTCGCCAGGAGCGTTGAACCCCGAAATTAATGTTGTAACGCAATGTCGTATCTCCGTCCCGTCTCATCCCATCCCCTGTGCCGTCTCGTTGCGCCTACAACCGCTCGATAACGTGCCCTCTGACTACGTCTTGGGAATACCTAATTGCACTAATGATCCTGCGAGCCGCGTAGGGCGCGGGGGTGAACGACCCTTCCCGGATTTGTCGCGTGGAGAACGCATTCGCGTTCGATAGAAGCCGCAAATTCATTGCGACATCAGCTGTTTCGCTTGGAGACGCAATGTGCAGTTCCGTGCGACAGATCTTAAATTTCCAGAAGTTAATCCGTATCTAATCGCATCGAAATGTATTATACATATACTTGATCGGCATTGCGCTGGCAGGTGTGATATATTCGAAAATGTGAGCGTTAAATTTTTTTTATCTATATAAAATTATATCATATCGTTTTTTAAAATAAATAATTATTATATTTATATAATATTTATATATTATATATTATTATATTTATATATTATTATATTTATATATTTTATTTATATATTATTATATTTATATATTATATTTATATATTATTATATTTATATATTTTATTTTTATATTTATATTATATATTATTATATTTATATATTAGTATATTTATATTATATTTATTAATAAATAAATTAAATAAATTATTATTTAATTTAATAATAAATTTTATTTAATTTATTTAAGTAAAAAAATAATTATTTTTAACTTTATAATCCATTTTTGCGTTCTTAAGATATACGAGGAAGAAATTAATACGTAAAATTTGAATGCTACAATTTGAGAACATTTATATATTGTAAAAATAATAATTTTTACTTCCTTTTCGAATATAATCGATTTGATCAAAGTCACTTGCGACCGCGTTTATCTCTTCAACTTTATACAATTTGCATCGAATCGTCTCGGTGATGTCTCTGTTAAAAGATTCCATCCTATTCGCATGGAAACCCGCGCGAGCGCCACACTGAGAAAAAAATTTGGTTACATTAATTAGAATTCTGGTAGATTCAACCAGTATGTCTGTTGGAAAATGGACGAACCAGAATTCTTGTAGGAATTACCAGATGAATCTGATTAATTTCTTCATGTTAAAATTATCAAATTTTCTGGTTAATAATACTAAACTCACCAAGTCGTCTAAATTTTTTTCCATCTAATCTCAAAAGTCTGTTTAATATTCTGAATTCTAACAAGATTATCACATAAGTTCAATCAAGATTATTGAATAAATTATTTTAAAGTTCAATTTGTTAGAAATTAAACTAATAAACAGTGACGCAAAAAGAGGATGCCGCTCAAACACACACAATCAGAGAGCTAGCGTTCTCTTTCTGGCACTACTGCTCATAAGAGAAAAAAAATATACTTTAGATTTAATGTTAATACTAATTCTTTATATACATTTCATGGCAAATATTGAATACATTAAGTTAAGAGAGTAAGCAAAGAAATTAATGTAACAAGAAATTTTATAGATTCAACCAAAAAATACTAACCAAATCCTTACAGTAAAATCTATTAAACGTTCTAATTATAAAAAATCGAGTCTTATCATGATAACTAGAAATTTTTGTTTGATTTAACCAAAATGCTTTCAATCATACACGTCCCTGGTACACTTCCTGGTACAATCAAACGATTTTTCTCAGTGCAGATTTATCGTACTCGCGTTAAGTAATTACTGAGAATCGCGTTGAACACGATCGATGATAATTCTAAGCAATTCCCTGTGGAAGAAAGAAGAGGGAGGGAGGAGGAGCATTTACTGTACCTATCTACAGGTACTTATAGTTTGTTTCCGGTGGCGGAGCGAACGCGCTCGCTCGTTCGTAACGCACCCCCGTAAAACACGATCTTCCGAGGGATCACCTCTTCCGAGGCGAGACCGGACGTAAAAACTGCCGTCTCTCCGAATAATCTGCATCGCGTGACGCGGGTCGCCCGCAATTGCGCGCAACTGCACTTCGACAGTATAACAGCGTAACTCGATAAAATTCGCATTTAGGTCACGCGTACTGGTTCCCTCTCTTTCTCTTTTTCTGTCACTCCTTATATCCTTTCTCTCTTTTGCTCTTGGTCTGTTTTCAGCTACTTCTTTTCCCGCGAAAGGGTCTGCTTACGCGCCTCGCGTGTATTTATGCGCTCGCGTCCCCTTCTTATAAAGGGAGGAGAGACCTACCAAGTGCGCTAGGGGGCGGAGAAAGTGGAAGAAAACGCCTGTACTTGTACCCCGATTGCTTTTTTATTCGTGTCCAAGTAAATCTGTCGGATAACAAAAGTTCTCACGAAGGAAATCATACACGAGTATTCCAATTGTTATTGAAGTAATCATAATTTTTCCGTGTTTTTCCTCGAATTACATTAATTCTCAAACATATGCGCTCTTCTCTTACAAACTCTTACTCAAATAAAAATATTTTTAATAATAAAGATTCATCTTTACAATTGATACGAGAATAAAAAATTATGTATCACGATGAATTTAAAGGTTACGGTTTAAAGGTAACGGTTTAAATTTTATATGATATGAGTTTACAAATTTTATGATCACCATTTATTAAATCTTTATTCAATATCGATATACTTAAGGAAGTAAAGATTCATTAAAAATTAAATACATTCGCATGTCTCACAATTTTTCTCTATAAAAATGAAAAACATTTTAATCATACATTTTAGGTCATACTTTCTTCTGCCACTTGTTTTAATTTATAATGTTGCACTAATCGTAATATAAAATCTTGATAATATTTCAAATAACGTCCGAGTGATTCATGTACAATCAAATTTAATCCAATATAGCGTTTTAAATGTGTTGGATTGTTACGCAACCAATAGTAGCCTTTAAATATACTTGGCGTGCGATAATATATATGTACTTTTAATATTTGTTTACATGAAATTTGGAACATGATAAATTTATTTTTCCTGCAAAGATTACTTATAAATTGTTCATAGCATTTGTCATTGATAATAATTTATCGATAATTTCAGTAAATTCATTAGATTCTTATTATATATATAATTACTATATTTTCTGTCAGACAATAGTAAAGAGTCAGTCTCTACTCTAGATTATATATAATAAGAATAAGAGTGAAATTGTTTTAACAATCTTTGAAACTTTAGTATAATTATTTTTAAATTAAATATGATAGGAAAAGATATGTCTTATTTCAATTGTTATACTTTAACTGTTATGACAACACGTTTTACTTTATGTTATCGAGATATAAACTCAAAATTACCAATTCTTAACTCTATCGAAGATTTCTTCTATGAGAAATGTCAGGTAATCTATATTTCAATCAATATTTATCAATATTTCAATCAATATTTCAAAGCGAAAGAAGGTAAAATACAAAGCGAATGGGAACCACTAACGCCTGTCTGCGAGTATGCTAATCGCTATTACCTTTATTATTCTTATTTATATCCTTATTTATCGGATATATATCTATTTCAGATTTGCTAATTTTGTCGAGATGAATCCATTTAAGAACAGTATAATTGAGGAATAACAGAAAGATAAATGAAAAATACATAAGCTTTTTGTCTATCCTAAAACTCTGTTAAGTTAGGTTTTAGGCAAATTTGCATTTGCTTTTGTATATCTCTTAGAAAAATATTAGTACAGTATGTATAATAATATGTACAAAGCTATGTATTTAATTTAAAAAAACCCATTTTCTAAGTAAGGTTTAATGGTTTCATATACAATATGATTTTCTATAATCTTTTATGATAGATATATAAAATATCACAGAATCATAAGATCATATATTTTTATTCTAAGATATGTTAATAAATTTTAAAAAATATATGTATATTTAATAGGTAGGTATTATAAGAGATTTAATTTTTAAAAATTTATTCTATCAGAAAATGTGTAGTTTATTTTAATACAAAAAAAGTTTTAGAAAAATATAAAGTTGTTTTTAAAGTATATATATTGATATTAATATTAATATAATTCGTGGAAATCTTTTGCAGATATGTATTGTAAAACAAGTACAGACGAATAATTTAAGAACGTTGTCTGAAGCGTTTTTAAATAATTTTTAATTATGGCAACGGTCATGCCCTTGATTAATTATTGAAATGCAAGCGCGTTGTTACACACTTAAATAAAAATAAAAGTAGAAACAATAATGATGATAAATCCGACGAGTTTATATAAGCATTTTATATCATACTATGTATATCGCTATTGATAATTAAAATAAAAAGTCACAAATTTCATCTTAAATCCACGTGGAGAACTGTTGCAACAATCTGAATACATAAATATAGATACACGCACAGCAAACATAGATATGTATTATCTTTTTTTATAATTATATGTGTGTGTGTGTGTGTGTGTGTGTGTGTGTGTGTGTGTGTGTGTGTGTGTGTGTGTGTGTGTGTGTGTGTGTGTGTGTGTGTGTGTGTGTGTGTGTGTGTGTGTGTAAATTTTCATAATTAAAAGATATGACATATGTTATGCAAATTAATTTTTATTCTATTTATTATATTTATTATATATTTTTATTAATTATTTTTATTTATTCTATATTTTTATTAATTTTTATTATATATTTTATATTTATATTTCCATTCTTTCTCTGTAACAAATCGATTTTCGGGCAGTACGTAAATGATGTATAATAAATATTAGAAAAATATATTAAATTGTATAACAAGTTATGTAAAACATAAAATGAAAATTTCTTTATATAACTCGATAATACAATTTTAGGGAATATACGAATTAAACAACTGGACAATAATTATATTGTTGGACATCTATGCAAATATTTAAATTTTATTCTATATCTTTAATTTTTTTCATAATTATCCTTCGCTACTTATTGTCTTTTTCAAATTGCGCCGACCGCTTTGAATAATCATCGCTCCAGCTGACTAGAATAAATTGCTGTCCTAGAAAGTAGCTTCGGGCGCTACACGTCATGGACTAGACTCTGTCTCAACATAATGTGGTCTTAACAACCGCCAGTCATATACGGACAGCTTTAACGCGATAATGGGAGATGGGCCTGACCTAGGCTGCACCAGCCATGACCTTCATTGGAGGCCGGTTCGTTTACGCACGTATGCATTCGCAAGTATTGGCGATCACATCTAGTATTAGAAAGAAAGAAAGAGAAAGGAAGGAGA